GATGGCAGCTTGCAACTCATCCGCGATGGCCGTGTCATTGGCCGCTTGGTTGTGCTGCCAGACTGTTGGCCAATCCGCAGAAAACGCCCTTGCAGTGGTCTGTGGATACTCGAGCTTCTTTGAGGTGGAATGGTAGTTTACGAAGCTCAAATCAGACCTTTGAGCTCCAAGTCCCAAGGTTTGTATATTTTTGTACCATAGGTGGGTCAGAAATAGCCAACGGAGTCCCTGGGGGTGATTGTTTGATTGAGCTTGCCAAAAGGTGGATGTCCTCTATAGACGTTCTTTCTTGAGGGTGCTACAACATGTTTTCTCATGGATTTTCACCATTCAGACCAGTCAACATCACCCAAACATCACAGGCACATGGCACGTCTATGCACCGTCTTTCTGTTTTGGCTTTGCCGAAAGATCGAGGTCTGTGGCCGCTGCACTGAATTACAAAGCAAAAACGGTGCAATTGAGAGGTTTCTTCAGGGCAGTAGTTGGGTCTCATATACCCTAGGGCTCCAAGGATATCCTCAGAAGGTGGTCAGACGGGTAGACCCCAACAAATCCTAGGGATAGTAGACTTAGTAGACCCATGTAACACCCCCTTTTCCCATGTTCGGCCGAGGCACAGAGCAACATTTGTTTTCCAAGGAAGCTCTGAAGAATACAGACTCTTGCAAGCAGCGCATGGGTCTCCAGCCGACCGCTGGATGGTGTTGGGGAACGAGGTCTAGAGAGCCCAGGACGGAACGTGAACAAGAAACAAAAGGCCAAAACGATCCGTTTTGCCGGTTCCATGTTGGTCTTCCTTGGTGTATCAGTGATTGGTTGTTTTTGTTGGGTGGCAAGGGAGGGGCAAAGGGTGGTCCAGCCGCGCTTTCTGGAACATGGTCCAGACATGTCCAGAAGGTGTTTGTTTTTTCGGCCTCGCCGCGGCTGAATGGAGCTCATGTTCATGGTTGAGGTGCAGTATGTGGCCTATACACTTTGCAAGGGGGAAATTGGAAAAACCCTAATAACCCAAGGCGAAAAACAGATCCCCAATAGAATTGATAGTTTTATATGTTTTTTCTTTCGCCCACTCAACCTACTCTATCCTACTGAACCTTTGGCAAAGAGTTTTGAAAGTCAGCAGTTCTCTTTGCGAGCGGCGTGCCCGAGGATTTTCATCTCGTTTGCGACCTCACCTTCGACGTTTCTGGGGTTTCGGTGGGCGCGCGCTTTCCAGAAGCTTGCACCTGGTGTGGACCTCAGGGTGGTGAAAGGTCTGAACTGAACCAAGACAAGATCCCTGAGTTACTTGTAGACCATTGTAGACCCATGCAGATTCACAATCATATGCCGTTAACCGTTAGCCTCCCCAACATTTGGAAACGATTTATCCAATGACGGGATTCATGTTGATCCTCTAGACGTCCACAATACACACGCACATTGCCAATTGAGGTTTGCACCACCAAATCGGAGATTGGGGGGTCACCACCTCCCGAGATCTCAGGTATCTTTTTGGGATAACCAGCCAGATTTTAGTGCCGGGACACGGTTGGGTCCAGCATATCATTCCAAAAACCCTCGGCTCCGTGGATGATGATGCGGCCTGGCTGCAGGCCAACACTTTCTCTAAAAGAGAGAAAGACGCTTGTTTGCCGATTTGTTGCTGGTTTACTGGGACACCCCCAATATATGCGGATCCATATGTGCAGACCATATATGGGTCTTGATGGTGTTGTATTTTTCAAACGTGCCGTGTCCAGCTTTTGTAGAGCTGGGATGATCGACTGAGGCCAAGCATGCGCCATAGTCCCCATAGTCAACAGTCCACACACCCCATATACATCCTCACAAGCTTGTGAAAGACTCCACGCCCACTCCAAACACCACACGGCATATGGCAGAGATATGCAAGGATAAGTATCACGCATGGCAGTGTCCCCGGTATCCTTACCTTCACGTGTTCCGGCGCAAAAGAACCGCCGAGGCGCCATAACTTTCGGTGGCTTCTGAACCTTTGGCGGAAGCTTCCAGGATGCAAGTCTCGTGCCCGATCTCGTGGTCGGCAAGACTGAGAGGGGATCGGGTCATTGCGCACATGTACCACCCAAAAGACTACAGTTTTTCCCAAATAGACAGAAACAGTTTCCAAATCTTTCCAATGCATTCAATTCTTAGTGGGGATGTACTGCACTTTTCTATGCATTTGGAGCGCAAGAAATTGAATATTGCCTGGATCGACCTTAAAAGTGTAAAATCACGCCGGAGACGCACTTTCGCAACATGTGCGCGGGAAATTGGGGAAGATGGTGTCAGTGAACCGCGGGGAGAGAGAGTTCTGATGCACCCGCTTGGCGTTTCAGAGAGCGCTCCGGCAACACGAGTCTAGTGTTCTCAGCCAATCTTGGTTTGATGAGTTTGAATGTCTTGAGGCAGTGTAGAATGTCTTTTTGGATTTATTTGAAAGATTGTGCTGATTGAGTGTCAATTGCACTAGTTTTTGTTGTTGCCGAGCTGCAACATAATGGCCAATTTTTTGCAGCCTGTGTTTGCTGCTATTCAGAGGTGGCATTTGGGCTGGCATTCAGAGCTGAAGCAGTTTGAAGACCTCCCACCAAGCCAAGCAGAACCTGAACAAGAGGGTACAAAAGTGGATAGTCCTTCGCACGGGCCGGGCCGGGCCTCGGGCCCGGCCGGGGTCAAAGGTAGACCCGGCTATCCATGCGCTGGTCCCATGTGCAGTCCGGAGCGCTCCGCGTTTCAATCCCGGCGGAAGGTGGTCGGCAGAGTCATGACTTGAGATGTGTTGGGATCTACCTTCATCATTGCCCTGCAAGTCCAAACGCCCAGTAAAACCTGGTTTTTGACCTTCTTGAGTATTGGATTTGTATGACCATCTCCAGTAAAATGAGGTCTTTGACTTGTAGGGTTGTAACACGGCAAGCGCTGCAAGCAAGTTTCTCTTATTTGGGTCGCGGGGCACTGAGGTATTAAGCATTTTTTAACGATACAGCCACAGCCGCAATCATTGTCGATATGAAGGAGGTGGTAGGTTGATTATGATTGTTTGTCTCAGCACCTTGCTTGCAACATCATCATGGAGCTCTCATGATTTGAACGTCATGGTGAGAAGCTTGTCTTGGTGCACATGTGTTTCCTGACTCGGTGACTTTCCCTTCAGCCCATCGTTTCCTTCAGTGAACCTTCTTCAGACCGCGCATGACTCATGACCACCGACCACCTGTTGCTACACGTCGGCTACGTCGTGTAGCATGTAGTCGGGTGGCTGGCAAGGAGGGTGGCCACACGAAAAAGATGGCCGTGGTTTTGCCGGTTGAGCTGAAATCATTACCATCCCAGACCAGACGTGCCAAAGGCCTTGCCCTGTGGAGTCGCCACAGCAACTGCCACAGTTGGATGCTGAAACGATTCAGCTTGGGAGGTTTCCATGCATGGCTCCCGAAGCAAACGCACCGTGGAAAAAAACATGAAAAACAACTAGATTTTGCAAAAACGACATCAGCTTGATATTGTTTTCGTTTTCGAGTGCAAACCGAGATGTGATTGAAACAGCATTGGGTTGTTGCTTTGTTTTTGCATCCAAGGTGAATCCACGTGAAGTTCCTGTACCCAAGTGGGTTTCCTAAGAGGAATGTCACTGGTGTAGCAGTGTTGCCGTAAGGAGGCTTTTCAAGAGGCAATACATACCTCTCAAAATTCTTGGAAGACATTCTGGGAGGTGGCTTTGCATTGTGTTTAAATCACATTGGGGAGGAGGCATTCTTGCAAGAATCCAGCACCACCAGCCGGTTCGGGGCCACAGTGACATGCCCAACACATCCCCAACACCATTTCTCGAGTCGAGAGCCAAGTTCGGGGACTTGAGATGGATTTGAGTTCGGGTGGAACCTGTTTTTGGAGGCCTGCCTGCCGGAGTTGGAACCGAACGGCTAGAAATGCACCCATCCAACCAAACACGGTCCAACATATTTGAACCACAATTCCTGGCTTAGAAAGACCGTGGTCGGTTTTTAGAAACACTTCGGCGTCCCAAGTGGTCACAGTTCAGTGGATGCGATTTTCCATCCGGTGTCCCAAACAAGGTAGTGTTCCAGGAGAGGCGGAAAGATCCTAGTCATAGAAGCATGTACGTACATCCGACCTGGGGAAACATGACGCAGAACATAGCAGAATCATGGTCCTTCTGAGGATTGTTCGGGAGAAAAAGCTCAAGCCAGAGAAATTGACTTTGCATGTTGCCTCTCAGATTCGCCTCTCAGAGCCGCTCGGAGCTGCCCATGCCCAGCTATCCGATATTGGATGCGGAAAAGGGCCCGTTCTGCCGGTTTCGAGACCAGGTCTCCATGGGGTTGTCCAGTCTCTAAGGTTCCCACCGAAAACAGATCATACAGCAGTGTAGAATGTGTCCCAGTAATTATGCCAATAACAGTCGGTGAAATGATAATAATATACCAGCACCCTCCAACAGGCTGTTAGTTGAGGGTTGTTGGACCCTAACAGGTCTCAATTGGTGACCTGTAGAGTCGGGCCCTGGTATGAGTCTATGTTTGAGAATGGCTTGCTAAGCATCGGCGCTGGGAGGTTGGGATAGATGTGCCCAAGAACGACGACACAAACGGTCGCGGACGACGTCCGGCTTCCAACCCTCACACATTTCACAAGAAGTTCCGACCCTGGTTGCTTCCTGCTTTCTCGGCCGGGGGTTCCAAGAAGTGCCGAAGTTGGGATTTGTTTGTCATTATCCTGAGACTTCGCATCTCCAGCGTGTGCAAGGTAGGTGTCACCCTGTCCAGGGTGTCACCCTCAAAACAGATGTTACAGCTAAAGTAGATACCAGCTTCACTACCTGGGGGAGTGAAAACATCAAAACACATGTTCAGAAGTTTTGTTGTATGCAGTGGGTCTACAGGACCTTGACTTGATGGGTGACATACACCTATACTATAACCTCACTCGCCTTCTCAGATTTTTTCGGGTCGAATCAAATTGCTCTTCAGGAGAAGCAGAACGCCCTCAATGAGGACGGGTCATGCTTGCTCGCATATATGTTCAGACAATTCGGCATTCCACATATAATTGTGTACTGCCCGTACGTGATGCCTCCATCCTACCTTGGAGTGAAAAGCTGCAGAAACAAAAACACATGTTCCAATTTCATCCAATTCCCGGATTAAAAAAAACAACACACATCACGCTTGAAAAGTCCAAGCGAACTGCTCAGTGAACTCCAAGAAGCATGGCAAACCAGAAGCATTAATGAAACATGTGAGCACAGCCCTTCTGTAAATATCAAAGCAAACAACAAATCGCCACTCCGACTCACATCCCTTCAGCGTTTCGACCAGTACTACCCAGACACCACATCCCTTCAGCGGCTGATGTTCGAGTGCCGACCGTTTGGGATCCGAATTCGACAGGTGCGTCTTTTGGCTTCGGTGTGCCATGAGAACGTGGTGGCCTATAAAGAGGTCCGGCCTGGAAAAGCCTTCAGAGCGGGGCAATGGGTGTGTAGGGGGTCGACGGGGGGGGATGTGGCACCACGTGGAGCCGAGCAAAGGTGCCATGTGTGAAACACTGGGCAATTGGTTCGTTCAGATGGATGTTTTGTTGGGATTGTGGTGTTTTGGGATTCATTGAAGTTGTTTGTTGGTGTGTTTGGGGTGGTTGAAAGAGAACTTGAAAGAGAATCCAGTCATGAATCACCTGGACCTTGGGTGGTGAGAGAGTGACTTCCCGAGGTTTGCTTCGATGACGTCTCAGGGGGTGAACCCCGCTTGGGAGTCGGGTGCATTGACTTCTGACGTATCGCATGTGTCATTTTCTCTCGAAAAGGACCGGTTTTTGAGACTCTTGCAACATGGGGTTTGGAAGGATGCTGAGGAAAAAAAAACATCTGAACACACTGAACACACAGATCCAGAACAGGAGAGGTTCCCCCCGAAACCGGCACCTCTTCGTTCACCGGGATGGCAGACACCAGCAGACTCCCCACGAGTGTTCACCCGACGATGGAAAAACAGACACGGATCGGCATGGCGACTCGGGCTGGTCGATCTGTTTGGGCTCGAAGAACTCCACCAAACCGTCATCCTTATGGCGCGGCTCGCAGCTGGATGCTTCTGGAGCTGCGCCGCCATCTGCTGGGCCGTCGGTTTGCCGGCGAAGGGTGAGAAGAGTGACCCGAAGGATGGCGAACGAACATGCTTTTTGCTGATTTTGCCCATGCGGCAAGAATATCTTCCGTATGCATGCCCAGGTAAGGAGTTCTTGGTGGGTGCCCACCATGCCACCAGCAGCGAAAGCAGAAGTTGATGGGTAAGGGGCATCCTCAAAATATGTTCATGTGTCACGCGTCTAGGTACCAGGATTCCATTCCTTCTTGTTTGCTCCTTGTGCTGGGGGTGCTTCGGCTTTGCATACGCATTCAGGCAGCCCTGAAGATTGCGAGCTGGAGATTGAGCAGAGCCATCAAAGCCTGCTGCAGCATGCCACTCTGGTCTCAACGGAGAAGAAGCAGCAGAGCTTGGTAGATTCTGCAACGGCCATTTGCGACACAGTGGACACACCTCCTCCTTCACCCCTTTCTGATTCGATGAACAATCCTGGCAGTTTCTATGTGGCTTCATGTTGCAGCAAGAAATCGTTTGCTTTATGTTCGTTGTTTGCCACGGGCACAGCCAGCATGAATATATATATATATATATAAGTAATAAGTAGATATACCCGCAAGGAGGACAGTGACAGATTGTGACATTTGCTTTGTCACTCTTGCAGTATATCGCGCTCGTCAATGACACCGCCTTCAATCCTTTCTCCATCAAACTTGTGGAGAAGTACAACTTGAGGACCGGATTTCGTCATGGGCATCTTCCGATTGAGAGTGCTGAAGCTCTGCGTACACTATATCCATTATTATCCATTATCCATATAATTACACCATTCAATAACACATTCAATGAACATAGTCTACCTCATTGCCTGTGACACGATTCACAGGCACCGCCGTCATGCCTTTTTCAATGCTCTCATGTTCTTCTCGTTCCCTGTCGACTTTCAGCCCGGTCCACAGGGCTGTTTGGGGCATTTGCTATCAAAGCAGGGGTATGCTTGGCCCTCGGTGGATGTTTTGCTAGTTTATTGATACTGGTGTTTACATGTGTTTACTATGTATCACATGTGTGATTTAAGAAGACCAGCATCAGAGGGTCCCCCTGCAAGAAGGGGAAGGGAGCCAGAACATTCCAACAGAGTGGGGCTTGCCCATTAGATCCGCAGCCAATCAGAGACCCCCTTCCAGTGCATGCTTGTTCATTTGGTGGTGTAGGTCATGGGTACCTTTCCCATGATCCCTTGACTTGGTTTGGTTCTGTTTCGTTTTTTAAATGTGGGCTACCATCCACGCGGACGACGCTGGGCTTAAATTGACAGTCAGCAGATTCTGGACAACACCTCCATACTCCCTCTCTACCATGTGGGCACTTTAAGCCGACAGTCTTGATTGGGTGAATCTGAGCTCTTCCTCTTTCTTTGCTGGCAGAATCCGCTTTCATGGTGGTACGGGCAATATGGAAGCCTGGTGGATGGAGAACGAGGATCCAGCCACCCCGCTGCCCGGCCGAATTGGGAGTGTTGAAAAGCTGTGTGGAAGGTGCTTTGGTTTGGATAAAGACTGGGTGAAGGAGTGAATGGAATAATAGTTGTTTTGGGTGAAGCATGGTGAAACAACAGATTAGGATTTTTGGCATCCAAGAGATGCAACATAGTTATAAGGAATTTAGGGGTTGGCATTTGTATCCTTCGGCAAGGGTATTTGGAGGATGGATTGAATTCGACAAAGCCGAGCTCGAATGATTCAACTTCTAATGTGGACTGACTGGTCGCTGCGGAGCTCTTGACTTTATAAAGCCTCCGAAACAGTGTGGTTTCAGAGCAATTAGCTGGCAAAGATGTAGAGGGGGTCCATAATATAACGCTACAAGGCTATACTATTCCAGACCATGAACTAATAGAACGCTTTTGAGGACTGGGAGATGCCAGAGGTGATTTCTTGCGAGGCGTTGTGTCAGGAAGCTCTTCTCATGCTGAAACCAACCATTATTATTTGACGATTCTTTGAGGACTCACATTGTCTGATGTACAATGTACATGTATGTACATGTATTGTCAGTTTCACCATCTACAGTTGGCACAAACTGTCACAAACTACTGGTCGACATTTGTACACGATGTTCACATGGATCCAGCAGTACACCCAGGTTCTTGCGCTACCCACCGAACTCAAAGAGTAGGGCACCTCTCCTCAGTGCTGCTGTTCCAGGCTGCCAACTCACCCCAAAGCGTAATAGAGGATATGGCTAAGAGTAACATAGCTGTGCCTGGTTTCCTTTGCAGAACTTCTCGTGGGCCGAAACAAAGTACCCCTCTGCCAGATGGACCTATTTGAATGTCTCGCGGCATACCACGCAACCGTTGGGCCTCGGCGCACTCTTCGTGGACCATTTGGGTTGCTTGAAGAACCACTGCACGTGACTTGGGCAGGTTTGGGATGGGCGGGTGGTGGTTGGAGGAGTTGGTTTTGACTTTCTGAGATATGTTCTCTCTATATATATATACACACTCCCGAAAACTAACATGGAAGTGGATGGCACCACCTGTTTGTAGTGGATTTCATGGTCTTCCAAGGGGCCATTCTCCACTTCCATGTTAGTTCCAGGGAGTGTATATATATGTTTCTATTTATGTTTTATGTTTCTCTATTCTTTACAAATCATTGTCTGAGCAATTGTTACACCGAGAAGTGCGAATTCATTCTATATTCATTCTATAAGTTGCCTTCTTTTTGCTTTGCATGCAATCATCGGGTCGGCCAGAACCTTGTGGTGTTCAGAGAGTCCATTATTCATCTTGGATGAAGACCGTCGACCATGTGCAAAACATGCCAGCTTTTGCAAATATGCGACACAAATCCCGATGGTTTTGAGTATACTGATGTAGCAGAGCTCTGTTTATGTCTCCTTTCTACCTGCACTGTCTCGTTGAACTCTTTCTTTTGCACCCCTCTTCATCGTCGCTTTCCAATAGCGTTTCAGGGCCCCCCACTGTGTCCTTTTGATAGACTTCGTGTATTGTCCCAGACTCAGACCCGTTCAGCTGCTCAACGCTTTACCTTGGGCCTGTCCTACTACCTGCAACAGACAGTAAACAATTATCACCTAGTAGATAGACTCAAGCTTTGTTCATCTTCTCTGTCGTCACCTGACCAGTGGCCCAGGTGCTTGTCTGCTCATCCGGTCACCCGGGTCGTTTCACCCGGTCAACCGTGTTGAGACGCCCACGTCTTTGGGATGTGTTGAGTTAAGCACCGGCATCGACGGAATCGCACCGGGGTTTTGCTTCCAGAAATCCATGGACGGATGGCGGGTTAAAACGTGCACCTCTATTTCGTCTAACACGATTTTCGACACACCTTTTGCAGGTTTTCGGTCTTGACCGAAAACGTCCCACACAGGAAAGGAGACTCTCCTGAAACTGGAAGTGGAAAGACTTCCTGTTCGTATCCGGACAGGAAATGAACGTGTCAAAGGGATGAACAGGTCGCTTCTTCCTGTTTCAGAAGTGGCCCACACACGTGGCCACGTGGCCCAGCCCGTCTACGAGAAGGGCGGGGGGGTTCGCAGGGCGAAACGCCCAAGGACGGCTCGCCTCCAAATGGACCCGTATGGTTTGTTTCCTTGGTTTTCGTCGGTGTTCGCCGGGGTGCCAACAGAAGAAGCAACAAACACAACACGCAGTGGCTATAGTAGATGTCATTGGGCATCCCATGAAGGATTCGCATCTCCAGGTGAAAAAGAGACCTCAGTGGTTGGGACCAGACCCCATGGTTGCGAAAAAAGGTTGATTTCCAAGATGTCAATGGTCTTCGAATACCCGTTGAAATTTCCTTTAAAAAGTCAACCTCCCTTTAAAGAGCTTCGATATTGTAAAGAAAAAAGTTTGCTTCCAGGTGCCCGTTTTTGTGGGGGTGGGGAGGTTGATTTTGTAAGGGCAGCATTCTTTCTTGGGGCTGTTGATTTTGTAAGGAATCGATATGTTGGTATGGATGTCAAAAGTGCCGCGCTGGTGAGGGTGGGGTCCTTGATTCTATGCAAGTTTGAGGGTGGGGTGGTTGTCATGGACAGTCGATTCTGTAATCGATTGACCTGCTGTAAAGCATGGACAGTTGATTTTGTAGTGGGTTGAGCTGCTGCAGAACATGGTCTTCTAAATTCTCAATAATTCGCATAATTTTTCATGATATATCATAGATAGGATATATTAGAACACACACACACACACGCACACCAGGCATCCCAAGAGCCTCGTTGAGTCTCGCTGCTGAGTTGATGTTTAATGAAAGTGTTCTCTTTGAGCCCAGTCTATCCCACACTTCAAGGCCTTCTGCTGGAAGATCCTCTTTCTTCTTTGCCTT